CCGAAGATTATTCACTCAAAATTAATATTTACAATTATTTTAGGTAAATCGGTAAATACTGAAGCTAATTTATTCAGAATTGATTTTTGCAATAATTCTTTAGCAAAAAATAGGCTTATAATAAAAGGTTGGAAAATGGGCGTGACCCTGCCCACTTATAACCACATAAGTGTATCTCGGTAACCGCTCTATCAATGTGTACCAAACTCGGTATGATTATTGTGGTTGCCACATAAAGGCAAAACGTTGAAAGTTTTGAAATCTGACTAAAATTACGCCCACTTTTATATAACGGGAAATTTCAGAAATATTTGAAACTTTGATATTTCGAAATTTAAGGAAGTTAATTTTACCCAAAATTGACACTAACAACAATCCCTTGAAAAGAAGTAACATTAGTATGGAATTTTGGAAAATGGGCGTGGTGCCGCCCACATATATCTATATAAGTTTATCTCATTATATCTAACTGAACGTTCTATCGACCACCACTGCTTACCATGTAGCGGTAGTCTTCGGAAAGGTGAAAAAACAATATTGAATACTTGCGCCGGGTATTTAATGTTCGGCTCCCCTCGAACTTACACTTTTTTACTTGTTAAGAAATAATTTAGGTGAGTAAATTAGGTGATTTAGTTAAATAAAAATGGAAGGGTTAGGTATTTTTAATAATGTTTTTTTTTTAGTATTTGAATTTAAAAATTGGAACATTAAAAAGTGTTTAAAGGGTCGTAAATCAAACCTGCGCCACTAAATAACTACTCGCTCGAGGCCACAAACTTGAAAAACTTGAAACTGGACAAAATTGTAAATTCTTTTCGATTGACGCTGCACCAGTCGAGAGGACTTTCAGTTATACTTATTGTTTTTTTATTGCGGTGCAATAATTATTTTTTGAGAATTGCATCGGGCTGCAAATGTTGGATGTATCCTCCTTACTTCCATCTTCACAATCTTGTATCATGGCAAGATCGTTGTTTAAACACCGTTGATTTCCAAAGAATTCTTCATTCTCAATCTTTTGGTTGTTTCTGAATTTGGAGAACCTGTAACGTCAACAGCATTTATCGATTTTGTTTTTGTAATTCATTTTTAATCCTTTCTTTTGCGACTGAAATAGCTTTTAAGCAGAAATAAGGAAAGAAGGTTACCACATCTATTTGTATTTTTTTATCATATAATACTACAGAAATTCATATACCAGACCCAACGTTTGATTTATGGTAATTAATTAACATTTTTGATTGAAATATTTTTCAATGGGTGGCTTTGCTCGCTTAGACATTTCCTTCATTTGGAACCAATCTTATTTAATTTGGATAAGCGGTTTGTTTATTATCCGGAAAAGACTTTTAATTGGAAATAAAAAATATTTGGCCAAGTTTAACTGGTAAAAAACTATTATTTTCGGTCCCTTGAATATTCGCATTCGCAAAAGATCTGCATTGATTATTGCGAATGCGAAAGCGAATGCGAATGTTAAAATTAATGCGGAATCTCCGCGGTTGCGAATGCGAATGCGAATATTCGCAACAACCCTGATACATACATACATTCATGCATATGTATCGCGATTCCGTAAGGCAACTAATATTTATTGTTTTTTTTATGGAAGTCTAGCTCGTTATCTAACAAAAACCGTGCAAGTGCAAAAATTAGAAAATAAAAAGTTTTGAAAGTATTTGAAAATTTACTTCATTTATGATGTTAATCTTTTGAAAATTCATTTCTTAGATAAAAGATTAAATATTTGCCAGTAGTGGTTGTAAACGCTGAAACTCATTAAGAAACGTTTTCCTGAATTTCACACCTCAACCGTATTGTGAATGACCAATATGTACATCTCTCCCTGAGAGCACTTCCAACTTATATTGCGTTCTGGCTGTTGTTTTTTGTATTTGTTACTGATATGTACATAGTCTTGTAAATTATAATAATACATTTTTTAGCATTTTTAGTGGCAGCTGGAACCTGAATACTTTCATTTGTTTGATATCCAAAACGCATGCGCGAACTGTTGCCCTAGGTAACAATTGCTCACTTTAGTGTTAGTTCAAAACCGTAAATACAGTAAAACTTCGTTAATCCGGATCAATTAAAACCAAGTCAATCCGGGCTAACCAGGAATCCGAATCACCAAAGGCTTAATGCCTGATTGTGGAAAAACACTTTTAATTGTTAATTAATGTATTATGTGTGACCTATTTTGTGGCATTTCGATAAAAAAAAACTGACTTTGTCGCATTTCACACTTATTCGAGAAATTTCCGTGCTACATAGTGATGCATCGTAAAATTCGTGGTTCACGTAAAGGAGGAAATAAATTTAATAAGAGAATATGTATAAAGTAATGTGTGTAAATGAAAATAGCATGAATGTATTGTATTTTATTTTAAATTATCGAACATTGCACACAAGCGGTGGAGTTTTACTGTACTATATATGTATGTACATATAGTGATGCATGCAGGCACATAATACTCGTATGTACATTAGACCTACATATCACAAAGATAAGATCAAATTGTTGCAATTGATTTTGAAGACTCACAATGAGACTTTTTTCTATGTATAAATATTCTATTTGATGATCGCTTTTTAAGAGTTATAAATATACCATCGTAAAGATGAAATGCATACGAATACAAACAAATAAAGTTCGATGCTTTTTTTTAATATGGAGAAAATGAGCGACACCTTCAACAAAGAAATATGCGTGCTCAGACTTGCACTTTATAGTACTAAAATTGAATCGGCTGATAAACTGCATACTCAACTTTTTTCTAAAGAGTGTAATTAAAAATTGCAATATTTTAATTTTTGTTGTAGATTTGAACATTTTTTTACAAAAAAAAAATGCAAAAAACAAAATATTTAAAAAACAGTTGTCCGTATTGCAAAAAAAACTCTCTGACTATATCTAAACTTTATTGATTGACTGTAAATATATTTTTAATTATTTTAGAGAATAATTGAGCATGTGCAATTCAAAAGATATGGACGTTTTTCTGAAAACCGAACCAGTCGTCACTCGCTGATATCATTTTAAAAAATTTTAACTATTGTGTGTGATAAAAAGAAAACCTTAGTTGCATAGAGATCACTTAAACTATTTGGAAATCATCTAAAAAATTATGTATGTAGTTAGATGTAAGTTTTAATAGACTGCTAAAAAAATCAATTTTTTGTATTTAAAATATCCGCTTTGGACCTATTTCTTATGTACGTAGATACAAATTTACATAAGTACCTACATATGTATGTACATTAGGGCGGGTCAATTTTTTTAATATGCGGATTTAGCATAGGAGGAGTCTACGTGCTACCATGGGTCTAAAATCAATTTGGAGCTTGCCAAATTATGCAAATGGGTTTCGAAGAACATGTGAAAATTTTCACTGTTGCGCCCTCTGGTAGCATTTTTAAGAACAAGACAAGTAAAAAAACACCCCATTTTGCATGGTTTTATACAAAATTTAAGCACTTTTTTACGACACTACAGCAAAATGCTAAGAAACCTATTTTAGCAATTTTGCAAGCTTCAAATTGATTTTAGACCCATGATTTCTTCGGCAAATTTGCTTGGAATTACACGTAGAATCCTTCTGTGCTATACGCGCATTGTCGAAAAAATCTTCCATACAAATTGACCCGTCCTAATGTGCCTACATCTAATATTTCAGTAAACACAAAGTTAATAAGCCTGTGAGTGTCCTAATGATTGACACTTTCAAATGCATGTCATGTATACCTAAAATACAAACAAATACATACATACATGTACATATCTATGTATGTATAAGTACATACCATTTTAGGGTTGGCCGAGCCGGGCGGCCGCCGGGGGCGCCGGACTTTTGAGAATGCCTCGCATACTTACTTAATTCAAGCACCTACTTTTATGGAATTATAGTTTTGACGCTAATAGGTGCCAGGGTAATTGAATAGCGCAGTAACAAAGTTTTTGTTCCTATAAATATTCTACCCTATAAGTCCCCGTTAACGCGCGTTTACAACTACGCGCATTTCCTTGCATGCTAATGCGCTAGCTGAGCAATTTTTATTCACCTCATAATTGCCCGAAATGTAAAATCTATCTTGCTTTCAATTGGCACAGGCCCTAAATACTTTAGCCTCGCTATCCATCTAAAATCGAATTGCAGGAAAAGTAGATTTTGAAGGTCACATCATAAAGTTTAAAAAGGCAAGCAAAATTCGGTTTTAATAGTATTTCGTTGTGGAATATAACGCTATAATTAACAACTTTTTTATTATCAAATATGAATTGACCGGGAGCCTTATTGGATTGACCGGGCGCCTTATTGGTTAACGCCGGCCCTGTACATATGTATATATGTATGTAATAAAATAAAATAACCTCCACACTATGTAAATATGTATAGTTTATTATAGTTCGGCCTCCTCGACGTTCCTGAAGTCGCTTGAGCTCAGTTATTGATATGAAATCGTATAGGAAAGTACATATTTGCGACTTATACTATTATTTAAGGGAAGCAATTTCGTTTTGAAATTCAAAAAGTGTTGCATTATCATCAAATATTTTAAATGTGCTTTCCAAATCCTACCGATTCCGGTAGCGGACGTAGTAGGGGTGCAGACGAAACAGCAAATAAAAACACCTGCTCAAAAACTACCACCAAACAACATTTGTCCTCAAAACAACGCCACTCTTCATGCTTCACGGTTATTACATATTACAAATTTACTCTAACCTACATCACGCCGCCATATATTCGCTGGTAAGACAACCAGCAAGCCACCCATTGCGCCAAGCAGTAAACTCACCTCCAAGAACCGGACACTTTCTAGTAAATCGTCTTTTTTATTTTTAAAATATTTAGCGTAAAATTGTCAAAAATATATTTCATACAAGGCATATTCATGATACATCATGGCATTATGGTCATATCCAATGTGCCTTGATTTCATAGCTACAAAAAATTATTGGGATTTAGTTTTGGTCAATGGTGTTCTATAATTATATAATTATTTATTTTTTAATTTGCCGGTAATGGCAAAATCTACTTGAGCACAGTTGTTTATTTAATAATAACTAAATAAGCTACGAAAATATTAACAAATAAATATCTCAAATTGAGTGAAAATGTCTAATGAATTGAACTCGGATGAGGAAAAATATGCAAACGAATCCTTCGAAAATGATACAGACGAGATTCCTGAAATTTCTGAAACAGAGAGTGAAAGCGAAGGAGAGCCGGCAGTTGTGTCTTCAAATAGTAACGTAAGCACTTTAAATGAGTACATATGTAAGCAGAGTAGATTTGTTGATGTTTGCTTTACAGCTGTATGCCTACGCACGGAATCGTTTCAACGGACGCAAAAACTCCTTGCAGAATAAAAATTATGTGCCCTTCGACAGTTCTTCGGAAGACGATCAGGATGTTGTTATCAGTGAAACCATTGCTGAAATCAATACGGAACCAATGTGCATGGAAGACGCCATCCAAACCCAAAGAACACCTATCAATTCTGCGCTAACACGCCGGGGCAGTGAATCTCTTGCTACAGTTGAGATTCCAAATTTTCCATCCTATGCCAGTGATGGTGGCATTATCGACGAAGTCTCGGATAGTGACGAAACAAAAGCCCAATTGTCGTTAGAAAATGAAAGTGAATTGCTGCAAAAATTTAACGATTTAAATTGTGGTAAAGATGAGTTGTCAGCGGCAGTACAATTAGAAGATGAAGTATTAGCAGCAAGCAGCTTTCTTCAACCGGATGTAGCCTACGAAGAGGAGTCTGTGAACGAGTCCCAAAGGGCGAGCATGAACGATCAGAATACACCATTAGTAGACACTTGTCGACAAGATCTGGTGAGTTTTTCCGATACCGATAACTTCAGTGAATATCCGTCCAAGGAAATGGATAATGAGCCCGTTGAATATGAACCAAGTATTGAGGTGCATATTAGTAGTGAAACACCTACTAGCTTCAATTCAGATGATTATGCCTTTCATCTAAACTTTTTAAAAAGCAATGGTTCCAATGAGCAATTGCGGTAAGTGGTAATTAATTGTGGATTACTCATTGCTTTGTTAATAATTTTATAACTATGTATAATTGTAGTATGCGCCATCAGCAGCGCAAAAGCTGGAGCTTTTCAAATGACCGTATGCGCGAAATAGAGCGTCATAACCACATTCTGCTCCGAAAGATACTCTCTCAAAAGCCAACATACCATTGGGCTACGCCAAAACCAACTAAGGTGAGAAACATTTGTTAATTGTTTATAATATCAAGTATAAGATAAAATACTAATTCAAAATAAATTTATACTTATATTTCTATACGTTTCTGAATCGGTTAATATGTATTGTTGGCATTACTAGTTCACAACATTACCCCCGACGACACGCATCACCAGCGCAGCTATCAACCGTAAAAAGAAGCAACGACAGATTGACATGGATAATCAAGGACTTAAAAGACGCATAGAGGCAATATCACTGCGACGTCCAACGGTGCAACATTTAAATTAACAATAAATGTTTTTGGATTTCGGAAACATACACATTTGAATTACTAATTTAGACAAAATGATTAGACCAGGAAAATATATTTTTGTCATTTAAGTATTACTAATAAAAAAAGTTTTCGTTTTAGTTATTATGTGGGAAGTAACAATAGAAATAAGTACGTTTTAAAATTTAATCACTCCTTTACTTTAATAATGTCTTAATCCAAAAATACAAAGATTTTTTTTTTTATTAAACGGCTATATAATACCCCAAAAGATGGCTGGAACCACAAACTAATTCTTACGATGCCAGGTTACACAAAATATTGATTGTGGAAACAAAACCATATATTCTTTCATAAATATTCTCCAATTGATTGATAGGCGTGAGCCGGATTTTTACAAATTATTATAAAAGTTACAAACAAGAATACAAAAAGAAAAAAATAAAATAAAAGAAGACAGTTAAAGATAATAGCTTCCTTTGCACAAAATGGGGCATGCAAGTGGCAAATACTAACATTGAGTTAAACATGCAGAGATTACCGCTAACTCTTCTGTTATGTAAAATGTGCATAGCTGTATCGATTACCGGCATCTCACCAGAACAAAATATGTATTCATTTTTACTATGGGATCATACTTCAAACTTCATTGATAATCAAGAATCAAGTCTTTTTGCTACGAATTGCTTTGAATGAGTGTTTTTATTGAAGAATGTAACTAATTTTATGCTTTAGTAGATTTTTTTTAGTTGGTTTAATGAGTAATCGGAAGATTTTTTGCACAATATTAGATTTAAAAGGAAAATGAATTAGGGGTTTTCCGTATTAAGGTAACGCATGCAAATGCAAAACTTAAAGAGTCGTTTACCTCGAGTTTTGCTTTTTTAGTTAAGACCCTATTGAAGTTGAGCGAAATAATCAAAAAATTATATCAAGCATACAAAAATGATAATAGAAATAATTACTTTTACACTACATATTATATCGCACTTTTAAAATTACGTGCATTTCTAGCTACGTATATATATTTACTTTACGTTAATCAATAGTTTTGGCGTCTTTCAAAGTTTCAGATTTTTCTATTTCATCAGCCTCATTTAAAAATGTTTCCCCTAATGACTTTATCGCTTTAAACGCAGCTTCACCGTTTTTCTCTTTAAACTCCTGCTCATTCTTCAGTTTGATTTGTTCTCGTTTTTCCAACTCACGATAAATGACTTGTCCTATCTGAAAAATAAATAGCAAATAAAATACCAGAATGCACTGCAAATAATATAGCTTTTTTTGGATAAAAGATAACTTACATAAACATCAATAGCTGCATATAGCAGCTGGTTTTCATCGAGTGGTATAGCATGCCATTTACTCATTCGTACTTTCTTATTCTTGTCCACAGCATGTTCGACCTTAGGGAAAAATGCAAAACGACTGGGATATTATTTGTCGTTTTTTCTCAATAAGTCCTTTTAGCTCTATTCAAGTATTACGTTTGCACCAATGGCGGGCGGGACAAACAGCAGGCTGGGGTCCGAATGATAATTATATTAGCAACTTTGCTTTCTTTTGCTTACAAGGGGGAGGGAGGGGTTACAAATTACAAAAACTCTGCTTACGTAATACTTGCAGGGCCCAGTTATACACATGTACATTCAAAACCTATTTCTTAAAATCGACATCATCCTCAATTTTTCCTTTACTTACAATGTAGTTTGCCAAGCGCTCCAGACTCCATCGCCCGCCTGTTTGGCACACTTCATTACACCAAACGCCCAAATCAATGCACTTCTCGATTAGATGATCCGCATTCACTTCGGGGAAATCACGCGCCAACTTTCGAAAGTCACTTAAATCCAAAAATTCACTTACTGCAACCAATATCAGAATTATTTTTACCTTTTTATATTGACGCCATGTAGCCGTACTTTCGGGTGCTTTAGTAGTGCCACCAGGGCAGCTGGCAAACGTTTTAAATTGGTCAGTTGAAAAATATAGCAGCAGTGCTCCTCTACGCAAATTTGTATCACTGCAGATTTACCGGGACCTGTTTGGAATGAGAAAGGCCATTCCATATCAAAAGCCATTGGCACTAGATCCACATGTACTTGCTTTTCCACCCATTGACTATATAGGGAAGTTTATACAATTTTTTTTAACTTTTACACGAAACACACGTTACTTACAACACCAAATCTGCTGTTTCAGCTATTTCATGTCCTTCCGTGTAATACTTGATTTCGCCTTTGTATTTTATAAAGGGCAGTTTGCGCTTGATTTCTATTTCTTCAGGTATAGCAATATCGCCCTCGGCCATCGAGCGCGTATTACGAGTCAAGCGTGCGCTACGACGTTTTGGAGGGTTGTTATCTTGACCTGTGTTTTCTTTGTCCTGCGGCGCCTCTGCACTAACCTGGAAAGGAATATTGCAGAGATAAACGAGAGGATCCCAAATTCACTGCGTCACTGAAACTAAATATCTACCTCATCCTCACTTCTTCTCCTACGCTGTCGAATCATTGCCATAAAAGTTAACTAGCCTCTTATTGCTTTCAAAATTCAAATGAATTTAACCAAAAACAAAACCAGCTGCCGATGTGTCATAGAAAATTGCCCGCCAAACTAGATATGAAACGATACAAATGAATACTCGATACATAAAATTTCGGTATCGATACTTTCAAATCAAGCAGAGAGCAGCATTTTCCCCGATAATTTGGAAGGAGCATAATGTAATAAACACTATGGCTGCGTTTCTTTATACATTCCGGATAATCCCATTTCACAGCCGGAATGAACAGAATGCATTTGAAATATACGTCAACATATCATCAGGAACGTTCTAAAGAATAAATAAACAAAAAAGTTTATTCTAAACGTTCAGAATGAATAAAGAAATGCAGTCTATGGGGAGGAGAAAACTCGAACTTCTCAAGAGCTGTTTGAGACTTTTTTGACAGCTCAATAAAGATAATCTACTTATATGTAAATTTGTATTAGTCCCCTTTGAGACACGTCAAGTCTTGAAAGCAATTTTTTTCGCATTCTCTTTTGTGTTTTCTATTTGCTTCCACACGCGTCAACTTTAATTGAATTCAAGTCCTTGGTTATTTGAATGGGAAGCAACGAAAATATCAAAAGAGACAAGAAAACTTGAAACGAATTGACGGTACGGAGGTATCTGTACTCTTCCCCTCTCTTCTCACGTCCTTCGCCTACGAACGAGCAGACTTGAAAGCAAGACTTGACGTGTCTGAAAGGGTTTTCATTGGACAATGCTGTCAAGACAATGAAGTAGAGATGCGGAAAACGATATTCGAAGCTTCGATATTCGAATTTTAATGGACGTTTAGCTACAAAACGCGAATTTTTTAGATCGAACTTTGTATTGCTAAAATTCGGATAAAATCGATTTTTTCAAAAAAAAATCTAATTTCATCTTTATTTCCAAAAAAAAATACAGCTCGTCAACTTTCTTCTTTCTGACTAAATTTGCCATCACTATGTGTGGCACTCAATTTGTCTTAGGGATGCAAATAAAAAAAATACCTGTTTTTCGAACTGATGGATCGGGACAGAAAATTTGTGCCTAGAAGGAACTCAAATTAAAAAAAAAAAAAACAATTTGTAATAAACTATTTTTTTGTTGATTTTTTATTTTAAATGTTTAGAGGATCTTACGTTAGTGGCATGAAGCTTTCGCCTGAGAAGACCCCTAGTAAAATTTTCCGGAGAAAAATTTTCTAGAATATATCAATCCTCTAACGACCTTCCAAATTTGCTTTTTGCTTGATTTCTTGAAGTAAGGGTCAAAATGACCCTTTTAGGCGCGAGGTAATGGGTTAAAATGTTCTACGAAAATATTTTCCATGAAATTTTGTCATATATGTTGTTGTTGTTGTTGTAGCAGCACGTAGTCCCCGAATTGATTGGTTGCTTATTCATCTTCATCTTCCCCATCTGACTCCTCCAACCTTAGGCCCAGGAAGCGAGCAGTCTCGATAGGTTGAGTCCACAGCGCTTCGGGTGTCAGATGGGAGGGATATTTAGGGCATACGAACAAGTGTGCGGTGTTGTGTGGACCAGTTCCGCATGCTGGGCAGGTGTCAGCGATCTCTGGGTCTAATCTGTTTCTGTATGAATTTAAGCGACTGGAACGAGAGCTTGATCCGACAATTTTCCGGTTATTCACCGTCGGAATTGGTTTGCCATCGACGAGAATACGCAGCTTTCGTCCTTGTAGTAAAATTGATGCCGAGGATTTTGTAAGGAGGAAGGTTAGGCTCCTTGCAGTGAAGGAGCGAAAAAATGTGGAGTGCTAACCCTTAATACTTAAGCATAAGTCATCAATTTCATTGCCGGACGCATTGTAATTTTTTTTTTGCCTGGATTGTGTCTTGACGGGATTTTGAGTTGTCGGGATTTTGTCTTGTCTGAATAATGTGTTATCTGTATTTTATTTGGTCTGGATTTTGTTATGTCTGCATTATGTCCTGTCTGGATTTTTTTACTTTCTGGATTTTTAAAAATTGTCTGGATTATGTCTTGTCGGGATCTTTAAAATGGGCATTATGGAGTGCTTCCATCTGGGCTGGTTTCGGCTGTCCCACAGTGTAATTTGAGTTTAACTTTTTAGACAAGGGGTCTCTCTACACGCACCTCAAAAATATTTTAATTGTTGCGTAGTATTTTAAGCACAACACTGTTTAACTATATTCGACTTTTCAAACAGATCGCACCATCGTAAATGTTTAAAATAAAGGTTTATTCAAAACCATTTCGATTGATACTAATATTGCGGTAATTTATTTAATTTATTAAATAATTTGATTTTGATTTTCTTACATATGGCACAAAACTAAATCCATATTACACATCAAGCCCGCGGAAGCGATTATTTGAATTTGACCCCCCATTTTTTTAAATTGAACGAACGAAACAGATTTTATGACTTGGTGTTAGATATTTAACGCAGACATCTACGAACTCGATTAAGAAGTTTGAATTAAACAAGTTTTTGGAAAATTCGAAAAAAATCCAATTAAATCGAATTTGCACCCCCAAATTTCGAATCGAATAATCGAGTGGCTGGGCATTGTTCGAAATTCGGAAAAAATCGAAATTCAACCCCCCTAAACATCCTTTCAATGAAGGTATACGAATTAGTTGTCAAAATTTTTCCAATGGAAATATATGCATGGCTAAGTGAAAAGTCTGCATGTATTGCTATTAGTTGCGTTCCAGATAACTTCGTGTAAAAACCTGTAAAACTGTCAAATAACAAAATTACTCTCTTGAAATAGAGGAGCGAGAGCGAAACAATAGAGGTCAGCTGGAACGCGAAAAACTACTTTTCCTGTAACTACTTCCATTTTTTTTTAATGTAAAGTGCCATGGAGACGATAAAATATCGTTATCAACCGTCTCGCGTTATGCTTGACAAAAGAACAAGCGCTCTTGCCTTCTGATCGTCGTGGTGAGCAAATACGCGGACAAGCAAATTAATTGTTTGTTTAATTGACGAGTTTATTTGAACGCTTGCGGGCCAATCTCACACAAATGCAATGCTTTACGTATTTATTTTATTGTCTCCGTGGCGCTTAAGGTTCTGTTTTTGTTTACAAATGTAACTCTGCCTATCTTACTTTTCATGAACTTGCAGGAAGAAAAGCTTCGGACTAAAACCTGCAACTTCTGACTGAGAGAGAGAGCAAGTTACTCTCACAAAAGTGGTTTGACTTTCAGGTTTTATAGCACCTGGAACGCTTTCCTGCAAAAAAACTGCAAATCGTGAATATCGTGAGCACCTGGAACGCAACTATTGTCATGGCAGTATTGTCTGGTGTAAACCATAACTTAAACGGCGTTTCCACGCCAACCGAATCACGTGGTTCGCTCTCTCAATTATGAACGTATGAACCAAACATACAAGATCACGTAAGAACGCGACGTTGTATTTGTAACTGGTTTTGAGAAAAAAGGTTGCGAAAGCGGGTTCGTCAGCTGAGCGTTTGTTTACATCACAAGCACCACTATTTTACACTTTCATTCAAGTAAAGAAGAGTTAATTCAACATGACAACACATTTTAAAGCATTTTGTTGCATCATTTTACCTAAATTGTGCGTTTAAAAAGGCTGACAATAATTTTGGCTAATTTTGGTTTTCGTTGTTTTCTTTGCCTTGTTTACTTTTCGCTCGTTTTCCAGTGAAACAAGATGGCGTAGAACCCGCAAAAAAAATCGACTTTTTTCACTCTCTTGTTCTTACGTGATCTTGTGTCTTTCGTTCATGTTATGAACGGCGAATCAATCTCTTTACACGACACATTCCTGATTCACTTTGCATCTCTGCTTCTTGTTCTTTGCTTTTGCTTAATGTTTAATGTGCTGTTTATTGTGCATTTCACGGTGGAGAAAAAATGGGCAGTGGTTAATTAGCTAAATCAATAGTTTTAACGAATCTAGCTATTTTTTCAATGTTTCTGCTGGTGGGGATGTGTGTGGTCTATGTGTTTTGACAGCCGTTATCGATAAAAATTAGAGAAGACAACGATTTGTTCTTGATTCGCATGTTGATTGGATCTGAATCACCTACGAATGAAGTGAGTCGCTCTCAAAATTTTGTATGGCGAATTACGTATTCGGTCACGAATAGAGTGCGAATTATGAATGGGAGAGCGGATCACTTGCCATTGAAACATCGTTTTAGGGTTGTGTTGACAGCTTTGTCCAATGTAAACGCGCTGTAAGTTACATCCTCCAAAGAAAAACTGGGAACTGATATGCAACCGTGGGAATTAGGGCGGGCAGCTGAACCGTGCCATTTTTCGCCCTATTTTACTTCAAGTGGCACTTAATTTATCAATTTGGCACAAAGTACCAAAATGTTTTTTTGAAATATTTTAATACATTTTTGTGAAATCCTTTTTGTGTACTTCTTTTCCTCAACTAAATTTTTTTTTAATTTCTAGAGTGTATACAACTGGACTGGCACTGGACTTTTTTTTAGAAATATGCTTCTAGTTTTATTGCTAAATGGGAAGACTTAAATGGAATGGCACCTTTTTTGGCACTTTTATTTTTCTATTTGGCATATTTTGGCGTTTTTTTATCCTAAATAGGGCACTTCATAGCTAAGGAAAGTGGCAACCCTGGTGGCAATCAGGAACATCTGTTTATTTCAGGTCTAACCACAATTAATAAAGCCGGGCTATAGTTTTTTGATCTAATTTGTTTTGTAATATATTTTTTGATTTTGTGGCGGAAATTATAACATAAAACACTGCATCATGGATACAAGTGTGAATACGTTCTTCGTATCGGAGAAAATATCAAAAATTCGCTGGTTGCCGGAGAAGTTGGAAGCAGCAGAACGTTTCCTCACTGGCAGTTGGGAGATGCCCGCTAATTTTGTGCGTTTATGGCGATTACAGCAGAATCAATACGCTGATGACTACAACGAGTTTGTACCGCGTTGTTGTGACAAACAATCCTTCAACGGTGATGTTACCGGGCTTGAATTTATTGCAAATGATTTGGCTGTGGTTAGCTGCGCTGATGGTAATTGGTTGTTTAATAGTTGCGCTTTTGCAATATAATTCATTACATTTTAAATCCATAGGACGTATTACAATACT